ATCTGGCTGTGGTCGGGAAATATGTCTAAAATAATTAGCTACGTCGTTCATAAACAGTCTTCATTACGTCCATCTCATTCGCAGTTCGTTCAGGTCGCACCACGTCGGTGTGCAACGTCGTATAACGCGTCCCTTAGTCTAGAAGGTCATCATGACCTGATTACAGAACGGTATGGTCGTCATCGAATTTTGAATCGATTAAATTTTTTAAATCACATTCCCCGTCCGGGAAAGTCCATGAAGTTCGTAAACAGACCGTAGAACGTTGTAGCTACATTCATTCAATTCGCACGTTTTGAAGAACACAGTGACAACTGGTTCTGGTGTGATAGCTATTTTGTTAATTCTTTCATATGCAGATTTCAATACGTTCATCTCGTCTTTATTCCGTCTGCAGTACGTTGGTATCAAGTTTAGATCGGCTTAAATTGTGCGTTCGTCTCGTCTACACAACGTATCCAATCAGTTCAATTACGGCCTTAAAGGGTGACGCATATCGTTTAGCAAATCGAACGCTCGTTTCTGGTGTTGCTCACCATTTAGTATAAAAGGCTCGATCCCGGAATAATACTCAAGGGTTCAAAGGCTCGAGGTCGGTGTGTCAACACCTCTAACGTTTATATAACATTGGTACAGTATAGATCGTCACACATTTATAAAAGGGAGATTTTCATTTTAACAAATCCATATCACATTCATCGCTAACATTTCAGGATCATCTATTTGTGTATTATAAGGACAAATTGACATCTAAATTTCCCAATAACGTATTAGCACAGAGCTTGGCATATGATATATTCTCCAAATGAAACAAAGCAGTTCTAATACAATGATTTATATTGGCTGTTGTACATGCATTCTTTGAAAAATCACTCCCTCAATAATGTTTTCAGACTTATTATAAACTTTATTCTAAGACAATTTCAATTAACTTTATTTTACAAAACTCCCCTTGTTTCTTGAAATGGACTGATCCAGTTGACTCGCCTGGAGCCGCCATATTGTTTTTATACGGGAAGCTTATCGGAACCCTTTAAACAGTTTAAACCAGTTGATAATTAGATGTACCTCGTTCTCAATACGTCCTAATATGTTACTGAATTATCCAAACTTCCATATGGTATCGTTCTAAAATAGTAAACATCGTGTCCCTAATCCGTGCAGAACGCATTTATAATCCCCTATTTTCCTGATTGGGGTACTCACGGCTGCAATTTACGCCTGACTAGACAACGTCGTAATACGTCCCTAGTAGGATCGAAGTACGACGTACACTTCCGTTCGAAGTGTGTCCTCAGGTCGTCTTAAGTTACCTTCTTCTAAGGCCACTGTATCGTGGCCTTCGTCCAAAGATAAATTCCTGCATGAACAACTGGTCATGTCGTTATCATAAAATTTGAAATCATATGTCCGCCATTTTTCCACATCACAATTTGAATTGCGAGTTTTGGCCTTATTACCTCACCAAAAATTCCAAAATACACATGAAGTGATCAGTGTATTCGTTCACATCTTCTGGATCGCTAACTTGGAATTTACAACCAGTTACTTATGTCAGACATTAACGACATTTCGTCCAGTTTTCGAATATCGCCATTTTTCTTGGAGCAATTTTGTTTTAATTCTAGCCGAAATCCTGACGAAATCATGTCATATCTCATCAGGGAGCCGAGTCGGTTCCGTTTTAATTAATGATTTATTTATCTGGCGATTTTTAGAATATTCAATAAATCTATGACACGGCGGCCAGCTTATTTCAAATGAAGTTCACAGTATTCCAGATTTAAATCGTACAATAGAAAAAAGAGACGAGATGTGGGGTTAACGACAACTTTATTGGTTGCCATAGCAACAATCTAAAGTGGCATGCAATTTACATATTTATATTTTTAATTGAAATATGAAAGTGACCCACTCGCAGGTGGGTATAGCATGTAACAATTACCTTATAAACCTTAAAACAAGGAGAGGGCGGGTGGGCAAGAAAACTTTCCAAAACTTTGCATGCTGCTATTGCGCAATGGAACTGGCCCTCTATAGTGTATAAGCAAAACTAAACTAAATTAAGGTGCTGCCCTCTTTATGACCTTTCCTCTCTAAATCAAAATAACAAGGTTATTTATCACTTAAATCGTACAATAGAAAAAAGAGACGAGATGTGGGGTTAACGACAACTTTATTGGTTGCCATAGCAACAATCTAAAGTGGCATGCAATTTACATATTTATATTTTTAATTGAAATATGAAAGTGACCAACAACCCCAACATCTCTTTAACTACATTATATAAAAAGACTCTTAAAGTAACTCTATACTACACTAACTACAGCACTCTATAATAGTGCTCATGAGTCCCTCAATTTATACCAGTCCTTTTCCAAGTAATCTAGCCACTGACCAACGAAAATCAAGTGGAATGTCAATGTATCTCTCCCACGCATTTGATTTCCAATCTCCTTGCGCTTTAATCAGAACTTCTGGTACACCCCCTAAGAATGCAGCACAGGCACCTCCACGCCGGAAGGAATGTCCAGAATAATCCTTTGGATTAACTCCACTCAGTCCCAGTATATGCTGCAACATATTCGTGAAGACCTTGTGAGTCATTATCCTAAGAGTCCCATTCTCTTTATATGTTGCCAAAGGGGTGTTAGGAAGGTGCTCGGGTGAGTCGCCCCTTAACTTTAACATCTCTAAAACTGCCCGATGGGGACAAAGCACTATCCCTGTTGTACACATTGGTAATTCCAATACCCGTTCTCTGAACTGAATAGTTTTTGTCTTCTTCACGGAGAGAACAATTCCTGTGTCCATAATTTTCAAGTCACTTGAACACAGATCAGAGTTTTCGTCAAAGGCGTTCCCTGATTCCAACAACAAGGTTGATTTGCGACAGAAAGTTAAGAAAGCTATGATGCAGATAGCCCAAAATGTTGCGCCGAAGGAAATATCAGTGTCTGTTTTGGAGTGCATAGCCTGAAGCAGGGAGGCTGTGATAGGGAGTTTACGTTTCACTGGTACATTATTAACTCTAGATTTGCCTCTCAATAATAGATTAAAGGCGAAATTCTCTGCAAGTGGGTTGGCTAATCCAGCTTCCATATGTATAATCCGTATGATATTTAGGTATTGGCGTACGATTGGAGGTTTAAGTGTCCTACTGAGGAATACTGCATATAATAATAAAGTCTCTTGCGAACACGGTATCGGTGTACATTTAAAATACACACAGAAACGCAGATAAGCCCTGAGATGACACATATATGTCCTTTTGGTAGTATTCGCATATGCTTGGCCCCTAAACTGGGCTAGCTCTCTCATCAGCATTGTCCTTTGGATATCCACGCCTGCAAAATATGATTAAATGCCGTTAGTGACATGTGTGATAATACATCATAGTTATGGTCTGCTATATCAATTCCTGTTAAACGTTCTATCATAGCATGTGCCATTGCTGCCATATTTAGATCAGTAAAACGGCTCAAGGCATCAGCCGTTACATTGTTTTCACTTGTAATTCTTCTGGCTGTCAGATAAAAATTAAATTCCACTGATTTTAACAATATGTCACTCAAAATATTACAAGCTATACTATTCCTAGCCAGACGTTTATTTATCCAAAATAGAGTTGCATTATTATCTGTATATACTATAACTCGTTTATCGCACCATAGGTGGCTCCACCTATCTACTGCCAATTTTATGGCTAGAAGCTCTTTGATATTTATATCACTAGATCTATGTTTAGGAAGGTCCATCTCCCAATTAATATATATCCAGTCAGTGCGTGACTCCGGTAGGAGGTTTTTATTATAGTGCCAAGCTGCAGCACCATCATCGCATGCATCTGTGCAGAAAGTGACGTCGGGCTGTGACTTATCTAGTATGTAATTCACGCCATTGAAGCGGTCGCTTTGCAGAAATTTAGACCAAGCAGCTAGGTCTTTTCGTGTTTGCGCATTTAAACGTGTCCTATGCGAGGGACGCTTTAGTTGTTTGCATGAGTCAATAAGGCTGCGTAGCAAGGGCCTGGCTGCCCTAAAAATGTTTGCGATCCAGTTTAGTTTCCCAATAATATGCTGCAACATTGTCTTAGACATTTTTGACGCATTGTTCCATTTCACTAGACTGTCTTTAATCTCTGAAAGCTTGGAGGCAGGTATTCTTAATAATTGCTGAACAGAGTCAATTTCGATCCCTAGAAACGTTAAACACTGTGTGAGAGGGACCAATTTTTTCCAATTAATTATGAAGCCTAAATCCTGTAACAATGATAGTAACATGTTAATTGCTTGCCTGCATTTGTCCTTAGAATCTGATATCACTAGAAAATCATCGAGGTAAACTACAGTCTCCTGAAATCCTCTACGCTTCATCATGCGGCCCACTGCACGTGTAATTCTAGAGAAAATTTCAGGACTTCTATTGCTGCCGAAAGGTAGTCTCGTGTCTATCATATAAGTAAAATCCTTATTTTTGCCAAATTTGTATTTTAATCCCATGGCTTGATGACACTTAGGGCTTGTAGGTACTACTTTATATCCCCATCTCAAGTCAACTTTCCCCATAAAAGATCCTGGTTTTATGTATTTAATGGCTGTGTCTAAGCCTTCATAAGCGAAATATTGGGGAGTAGACATAGAGTTCACTCCGCCGTCCATTGGCCGGCTAGCGTCATGAATCAAGCGAATATCTGCACTGTTTTGTTTAGGCACTGAACCTAAGCTACTCACTATCTTAGGTTTTTCAACGGTTACGATATAACGTGATTCTAGAATTTCTTCCCTTAACTGTTTTTCCACCTTAGGTTTGACGATAGGATTGGTAGCTGAACGATAATTATCACTATCATTTTCCTGTTTATTATGTGAATCAAATTCTTCATCTAATAGATGAAAACCAAATTCAATGCCATTTAATATAAAATCTTTATCACTATCACCTTGTAATTCCTGCCTCCAAGTATCCAAATTATCTGTTAAAGGACTGGTGAGGTGTCCCTATTTGGCGAGTGATGCATGGAGATATTGTGGGTGGGCTTCTCCACAATTATTTTCTGCACATTTCCCATGTGTGAATTTACACGAACTGCCATAACTGCAGCCTCGTGCACTATTCCATTGACGGCATATCGGGATATTTGCGTTCTTAACCTGAGATTGCGTATTTTGCGTGGGGTTCCCATTAGATGAACGGTCACCACGTTGATGGGGGGGGGGGGCGCCACGAGGCGTTGTCGGCTTCTTCACCAAATAAAAGTTCATCAGATGTATGTCATCTTCACCCCATGTCAGCATATTTTCATGTTGTTTCTTTCTGCATGCGTCATCATATAGTAATGTGGATGTCACCGTGTTGGTTTGTGCGTGGTCACCTACATTTATCATGTGCGATACGTACTCCTTTACGACTGTTAGTTCAGCACCGTCCTTAATGAGTTGTTGTAATATCCTACAACTCGCGCCCACCCATTGTGGTAACGTAACATTGTCCAATCGAGGTTTCACTGTTTTGTTGCCTGGACGATAAAACAAGTTATTTCCCATTGATATCTCCTCTTGATCGTTCTGAGGGAGATAGGCATTAGTCACAAAGTCTGGAATAAGGAGTGGTTTCTTACCATTATGGCCTGTAGACTCTGTAGGTACTGGAGTCTTAGCTGATGCATTATCTGTTGACAAAATATCCGCTGACAGGTCACCCGACTTGGCTAACTTGTCCACCAGGTCAACCAACATTTTGTCTCTTGCGAGTTCTGATGTTGTAATAAGTTTGACAGGTTTGCTATCACTCTCTGATCCAAGTGTTGCCTGATCCTGAGTCTTGATGACAGGTTTGTGTAGCGATCCAATTGCGGATTCTAAAGCCCTCTCAAGTCCCAATCTGCCTAATTTTAGAGCAGCAATGTCACTGAGTTGCATGGCTAACAAGGCATTTAAAGTGTCAAAACCTTCCTTCATCAATGAATCTATAGTATCATTGTGTAGCTTATTATCCACTGTCCATTGTTGGAAATTAAATTCTGACATGTTGACTATTTACAATAACTATTTTTGAGACAAAACAAAGAAACAAGAAAACTTTCCAAAACTTTGCATGCTGCTATTGCGCAATGGAACTGGCCCTCTATAGTGTATAAGCAAAACTAAACTAAATTAAGGTGCTGCCCTCTTTATGACCTTTCCTCTCTAAATCAAAATAACAAGGTTATTTATCACGAAATTAACCTCTAGCCGAGTATAGGCTAGAGACTCGAGCAAGTCTATTTTATCTACCCCACATCATTTGAGACTGAATACTCTATCTTTTATGAGTACTAGTATCTACAACTATTTTTGATGTTATGAGTATTGGCTATCAAATTTTTCAATTTTTCTTCAACATGTATTGTAATGACTTCAGTATGAATGAAATGTCCCTTGGTGGTCTGGCCCTGGATTGTGATATTGTTTCTCGATTGGAGGGGGAAGGGGATGTAGACATTGTTTCTTTTCACGTTAGATCATGGTTTTGGGATATATAGGGTCTACTTTTCTTATTACAGATTGACACTAACAGTTTGCTTTTCTTGTTGGGTTTCTTTACAGTTTTTAGTGACCATTCTCTTTTGCATTTGTGCTTATATATTCTTAAGTACGTTGTCATTCGTTCTGATTGCAGAACGTGACGATCACCAGAAAATTTTGAGCATGCTCTAAGTTCTGGAGGACCTACTAGTTCGAGTAGTTTCATGAAGTCTGTAAACAGATCCTAACACAAGACAAAATCGTATGGAATAATTTGCGATAAGCTAGTTATTAAGCTTGTTATTATGGTCTTACTAGTGGTTATTATTGAGTAATGGTACAGGTATTCGATATGGTATTGCAGCTTACACTTAAGTAATGGTACACGTATCCTTGGATTTTAGGCCCGAATACCGAGGTTTATTTTTTTAATTATCGTGTATTATTATTTTGTGTTAATATTAGTTAACCATATAACTATTGGCATGATATGATAACCTTGTTATATTAATATAGCGCATAGGCGTAGCCAGGGGGATGCGATGTGTGCGATCGCACCCCCCCCCTCCATAACCAATGAAAATAGAACCATTAGATAGAAGAAAAAAGTCTTAAAATGCTTTTTATTTGAAGCTTCTGGCTCGATTTTGAACGAAGTTGCACCAATTTTTGTAAAATTCAAAACAAATCTTCAAAAACATTTTTTATGCCACGATCGCACCCCCCCCCCCCCCCTCCCCCCGACTGAAAGCTGGCTACGCCACTGTAACGTGTAATCAATACGCTACATTTTGTATGTTCAATTTGTATACTAAAAACTGTTATTAATCCACAAATTTAGATGAAGACAAGATAAAAATTCGAATCAAGAATGAAAAGGTGTCTAAGTATATGATTCTTAAGGGTAATGCATATTTGAATTAAACAGAGGCGGGTTAATTTATATTGTGCTATGAATTACGCTATTATTCAAAATTGCAGCTAAGATGCCTGTTTTACGATACCCTGCGTGCAGAGTCTAGTTAAACTACACTAAGACGAGGCTCTCTTTTAGTGAAGTCAAACGAATGCAAAGGGTAGTTTTATGAAAAATATCACGGAAGATGTATTCTAGATATCAGTAGTATTCTCAGAAATTTATTATCCGAAACGGATAACATCTGGCCACTCAGACAAACAATCGCAGACATAGGCTAAGCTTGTTTATTTAACAGTTAGATTTGTTGACTTACCGATCCGTATTTCAATCTCCGGGAAGACGTTCTTTTCACTTTGTATTTGCGTGCAGTGTAATATAAGTTGATACTTTTGTTCAAAAATGTACTTTTAATGGCCATTTTATGCCTTTTATTTTCAAATTATGTTTTGTTTGGATGTCAGTGTGAAAAGTCAAGAAACGTCAACCCCGACTTTAAATTGTTTTAAAATGTTGGTTAATCACTTATGGCAAATCACAAGGTTGATGATGTCAACGGACCATGATCGTGGAAGGCTATCAATATCAGGTGTATATCGCATAGAAAATAAATATAGCTAATTTTTCGCACTGATATGATGATGACTATTCTGGCGAATCGGGTAGATATTTCTCAGTTTTTTCCGGTAATAAAACTATTCATTTCTATCAATTTTACAAACGGGGTCCTTTGAATGCACATTAAAACTATAAAAGTATTTATTGGGCGTACATACTCGTTCTGTCATGTTACTTACATTTCATTTGCAAGTTGTCCACATATTAATCCGGCGTTTTGTTTAATCAAATTTCCCGCCCCTTGAGGTTTCCGACTGTAAAACTTAATATTTAATACTAACCAATGCATCAGTTAATATTTTCAGAATACAAAGTTTCCATTTTTATTTCTCTGATAGATAAAGTCTCATTTTGAATCTGTTCGTGTATTAAAGAGTATGCTTTTATAATGCCGTGGTCACATTTGCTCAGATTTTCAGCACCGGCGCCCGGCCGTTGAGTATTTTGTTCAAAATTGTATTCAATTCTGAACAAAATACTCAATCGGCCGGGCGCCGTAATGAAAATCGGAACAAATGTTACCAAGTCATAACTGATGAAAAATCAAATGAGAACATGAACATGGATAATAGGGGAACTATTACGCTGCGTGCAGAGTCTAATTATAAACTACGAGAAGACGAAACTCTCATTAGAGAAGTGAAGTCGAACGAATGCAAAGGGTAGGGTACTATAGAAGGGGATCATATAAAAGCACGATCTATTTCACAACGCCTTTAACTTTTGTTCTTCAACTGTTGCCCTCTGTGCATTTCAAAAATAAAATATTTTAATCTGATTTGTTCCACCTTTCTTTTCGCTCAGTTCTGCACTATTATTTCCATATGTTGTTTAGGATTATGTCATTTGCAAAATAGCTGTAAGACATTATGAGAATGAATATGGGAGTTTCCACGATAATGTTGTTCACATGATTTTATACACATACCTGCATAACAATCGGAGACAGAAGTCTTAATATTGTCCAATAAAAAATGAGAATCTAACATTTAATGATAACAAAAGGATTAATTGCTTAGTTCTCTTTGTTTTAGTCTTTGTTTTCTTAAATGCGGAAGTGTACCAACATCACCTAGATTACATAAGAGATCATCTAACAGTCTAAAATTGCTTTTAATTGCAAGTTAATGCATTCCGACCAAAATTTGTATACCTGTAATTGGGGGGGGGGGGCGATGTTACATCACATAACTACAACGTTCATATAGAAATATACAATAAGCATGTCCGTATAAAAGCTAAAATTATAAAAACTCATTTCAAAGTCATTCTGTTCATGGAAGCGTCAAGTTATGAAAAACAATGCTAAACACTCAAACAAATCGACTTGATTACCTTTGAAAACTTCTTGAGAGGAAATGGACAAATGTATTTTTCTAACTCATTAGAACGTCTGTCTGATTGAAATACTATTTTTAAATACAAACATAAATGATTTAATCTTGGTCAGAAGTCTGAACATTGTCCAACAAAATAATAAGAATCTAACATTTAATGATTACAAAAGGATTAATTGCTATATAGTCTTTGTCTTAGTCTTTGTTTTTCTAACGGCGGAAGTGTACCAACATCACCTTGATTACAGGAGAGATCATCTAACAGTCTAAAATTGCTTTTAATTCCCGGGTTTTGATTACATTTTATGTATAGGCTTTTTTGCCTCTATTCTCATTTTTAAACCTGTTTCTGTTTGCTTATTTAACAATTGTGATAAATTATTCAGTTAGAGTCGAAACCAAAACAATTTTCTACATTATAGTCCCCTCCTCTTGCACTGACTAAATATTAAAATAAGCTAGTCTGATTGCGAATTTACAAATCCTGTAAAAGTAGCTTCAAACCGCCTTTTAATCAGAGAAAACAATAAGTTAATTCATCTGATTGCGAAAATACGAATCAATCTGATTATCTGATCTCCATGCTATTTGATTCGTGCATTATCTACAAGTCAGTCGGGCAAGGGTGAAATTATTTCATTTGAAAACAGAAATAAATATCAGAACCCCTCTAGCATAACTATTCGGAAGAAATTCATACAAAAAATAAGGTACACAACTGATGAAGGGTCGCACACAATGCACGCACCCCTCTCCTCCTCCTCCGTGTTTGCCCACACACGACCATATTTGACAATTTTTCTAAAAGCGTTTTCCCCGGGAATATAGGTGTAGCGGTTGCCAGAAGTCGCACAGCTTGGGAGTCAGGGTATCCTGATCCATGCCTCAACGCCTGACGGGTCTGATATTTAGAGGGGGCGCAAGAATTATTAGGGGGCGGGGTAAACGTGAAAGTTGCCAAAATATCCATAGGCGTAGCCAGAAGGGGGGGGGGGGGTGCGATGGGTGCAATAACAAAAGGCTTTATATATGCTTTAATGTTTTATTTATCATGATGCTTTTATGTAGGGTATTAATTACAGTTCTTTTTGCAATATAAAACTGGTATGTTTATGCAAATTCCGATTGGACTAATATAAAGGGATATTGTTTCATTATGTGGACTTGAGAAAGTCCGACATACTCATTGCTTTCAACCCAAAACTTAAAATAGGAAGTTATCAAGATCCCAAGAACACGATCGCTACTTAAACAATACGTTTGTAAAATCCCGGCGATCGAAATGCAATCAAACTTTCGCAATCAGGTGCCTAATTAGTCTCTTGATCTCTAAAGTTTTACGACTGAACGTTTCAATGAACTCGTGAGAAGCAAACGCAATCATCATATAAACATTTTTCTAGTAAATCTAAAATAGAGTAAAACCCAGGGAAAAAGATCGCGTGTTCATAGGAATTAGGCATATTTCAATTTTAAAATAACAAAAGTCAGTCTCGGAAGAATTTTCCAAGCATTCCCTGCTTCGATGCGTTTTTATTGCAAGGGCCATTTGGCGCCGATATGAATTCATTATAGGGCATTAGGGTTGTGCTTTATTTGTTTTATTTATATAAATGTTATAAAATGTGTAAGACACTTTAATGAATTATTTTTAGGGTTACAATGCATTTGACTTTTCCCTCTAAACGTTTAAAATTCATCTTTTCTTAGTTTGCTTCATATCTTGATTACGGTAAAGACAGGCCATCTCATTCTGGTATGCCAGAGCCACTCTTATCTGCCGATTGTGGAAGGATAAAGACAAAGG